TGAATCCCAAGCCACCATTACCTTTAGGGAGAGTAAGGTAATTCCATGATTTCCAATGAATAGCTCTGCTTTGATCATTTTTCTTTTTCCACCAGAAATTTGCAAAGCTTTGAGAGATTTTTGTACATATAGCTTTAGGCAACAGAAAGCATGACATTGCATAAAGTGGAAGAGCTGAGAGCACTGATTTCAACAAAATTTCTTTACCTGCCATAGATAAAAAATTATTCTTCCAGGAAGCAATCTTGTTAGCCACATTCTCTTGAATATATTGGAAAGTTTGAATTTTGGATTGGCCAATCCCCAAGGGTAGACCTAAGTATCTCACAGAATTATGACAAGAAATTCCCAGGAGGATGCCACAAACTTGATTCTTAATGTGAGCAGGGGTATTTTTGCTAAAAAATATGGAGGATTTCTAAAGATTGATTTTTTGCCCTGAGCATTGCCCATATTTCTCAAGAATACTGAGGATACTGTGAGCTTGGCTAGCATAGCTTGTGTAAAAAGGAGAGTATCATCAGCAAAAAAAAGATGAGTTAATGTAGGACCATTTCTGCAGAGTTTAAGGCCTTTAAAATTACCCAAGTGGCATTTAGATTTAATGAGCTGAGAGAGAATCTCCGAGATGAGAATGAAAATATATGGGGACAGTGGGTCCCCTTGTCTGATTCCTCTAGAAGGTCTCACAAAACCTTGAGGGTTGCCATTGAGATTAAAAGAGAAAGTAGGGGATGAAACGCAGGCAATGATCCATTTAACAAAAGAATGATGAAAACCCAGTTTAATCAAGGTATGATGAACCCCAATCCACTCTACTCTATCAAAGGCTTTGGACATGTCCAACTTAATGGTCATATAACAAGTTTTGCCTTTTCTGTGCTTGTTAAGAAAGTGAACAGCTTCATGGGCAACTATAACATTGTTTAGAATTTGCCTATCCCTCACAAAGGCAGCTTGATTCTCAGAAATGCAGTTAGGTAAGCAAGGCTGAAGCCTATTGGCCAAAATTTTAGAGATGATTTTGTAAGTAGTGCCACATAGACTTATAGGTCGAAAATGCAGTTAGGTAAGTAATGGCCATATAACAAGTTTTGCCTTTTCTGTGCTTGTTAAGAAAGTGAACAGCTTCATGGGAAACTATAACATTGTTTAGAATTTGCCTATCCCTCACAAAGGCAGCTTGATTCTCAGAAATGCAGTTAGGTAAGCAAGGCTGAAGCCTATTGGCCAAAATTTTAGAGATGATTTTGTAAGTAGTGCCACATAGACTTATAGGTCGAAAATGAGAAATTCTTTCAGGAGATGGGATCTTAGGAATGAGAGTGACCAGAGAGTGGTTTAAACTTTTGAGAATTTGGCTTGACTCAAAAAAAACTCAGAACAACAGCATATAAATTAATATGAATAATATCCCAAAACTTTTGAAAGAAAAGAGATGTCATACCGTCTAGGCCTGGAGCTTTGTTTGGATTGATTGAGAAAAGGGCTCTCTTGACTTCCTCCATTTCCACTATTGCTATCAGATCTTTGTTTTGATCCTCAGAAATCTTGGGTGACAGGATTTGAAAACATCTTCCCTAGGCTCAGTGAATTCAGTAGTGAATAAATCTCTGTAAAAAGCCTCAATGCATTCAACAATCTCTCCCTGACTTTCACAAACTGTATCATCATCCCTAATTAGCCTTGAGATAGCATTTTTCTTTCTCCTCTGAATTGTACTGGCATGGAAAAACTTGGTGTTTTTGTCTCCCTCTTTGAGCCAAGATATCCTAGACTTTTGCTTCCAGTATTTTTCTTCCTCACTGTGCAAATCATCCAACTGCTTAGTAAGAGAGTCCCACAGGTTCCAATCTTATAACCCTCCCAATCCTCTGAGATCTGCTAGCTGTTCATTAAGCAAGGCAATCTTATTGGTGGTTTCTGCTCTGAATCTGCTACTCCACTTGAGCAATGCCACCCTTGTGAATTTAATCTTAGAAAGAAAGTAGAACATTGGAGTGCCAGTTGTTGAGGATTTCTAAGCATTAGCAATGGTCTCATTCATCCCTTGCTTCCCCAACCAGTTCTTATTGAAGCAAAATCTTTTGTGCTGGGGTTTGGACTCAGCTCTGAGTTTCAGAAGAAGGAGACAATGGTCTGAGGAGCTTCTAAAAATATTGGACACAACCGCATTTGGATATATGATAGAACAGTTAAGAGACCCAAAAATTCTGTCAATTTTTTCTTCTATGAATTCAGCTCCCATTCTATTGTTGCTCCAGGTGAACTTGTAACCTTGAAATTCAATTTCTTGCATTGCCATGTGTTTATTGTGTTTTTGTGCTTTTGTTCTATGTGTTTTTGTGTGCTTTCGAGTCGATTCTAGGATTGTTTTAGGGTTGGCCGGTCCATTTTGTCGTTTATCGTGTGTTTTTATGCTTTTCATTTTATTTTATATTTTGGCGTACTTTTCCGTGTTTTTCGGTTATTAATTTCAGGTATTTCGGAGATGGAGAGAGAGAGAGAATCGAGTCACTTGCCGAGATACGAGCATTTCCCGAAGAAGTTGAGTTTTCGAGTAGTTTCAAACCATTCCGTGCGAAGTTGTTGATTGAACCGAGATGTTGGGGCCCTAGTCGATCCCCTACCGAGATGTCACCTAGCCTTGTCGCGTGCCCGCCGGAGTTTCCTCGAGCTCGAGAGTGCTCTTTCCTTCACCATTGCACCCGACGCGTGCCCGCCGGCGTTTCCTCGAGGTCGAGAGTGTTCTTTTTCTCTAC